TTTGTCAATGTACCGTTGTTAGCTAACTGTGTAATCAACCTGCTGTTAGTGTTAAGTTAGCTTCCTAGCTAACATCAATGTCAAGATATTGTTGACATAGAAACAAAACCCACGCGTAGCTAGAAAACAACACAATCTCAAAGACTATCAGTGTGCCTCTGATAATTTGTAATGGTAGAGTGGATGTGATGCAGTTTTCAGTGTCCATCATCTTGGATTATGGACAATATTGCTCCCTCCAATGTACTCACTGTGGGTACTATATGTTATGCATTCTAGGCTTTGGACCTGCACTTCAGTTCATCTCACTTGGACTGTCATTTGCATGTCACCTTCCCTCTGCTTTTTAAGTTTTTTTCCCTTTTTGACATGCAATGTTCCTCTTAGGTTCTAACTTAACTTTGGTGGATGTTCATTTTACTCTCCTGATACTGTCCTGCTTTTAGCACATTTTATAATGTGTCTCCTCTTGCATCTAAAGTGATTTTGATAAAATTGCAGAATTTGTATTTAGGGCTCTCACAAAGAGAGACATTTAGCAATCCAGTGACATGATAAGATGATAGGGAGTAAGTCAGAACTTGTATTAGCACCATTATATCAATCTATTGAATCGGTCATCCATCCTTTGTTTACTAAAGGAGGGGAAATCCCAAAACTTATCTGAACTGTGCTGAATGAATTTGGAGTCCAATGTAAATATTGTACAGTATTCCTTCACCATTTTTTTGTGTATAATTTGTGCTTATGTCTATAACATAACATAATACATTTGAATAATATTAGGATAAATAAATAAAGTTGGAGTTACAGCTAAAAATCAGGTACCCTGGACATTATTAAATGACTTTAACATTACACAATATATCGGTGTTATTGTATGTAAACATTAAAGTCAAGTAAATTCCAAGGCCATTTTTTTCAGTGCTGGGCTATTTTGTGCTCTTAGCTTATGTTACTTTTTTGGACAATGCACAGTTGTGTCTTCTTTTGTTTCTTCTTTTGCATAGTATGTTTTCTTATTGTGCATATAAACCTTTCTCAAAGCCTTCTCATTTGTTCGTTAACATTTCGTGGTGCAAAATATTTTTCAGAACTTTTTTTGTGTGCAAATTATGCCTTTTAAAGGTGATGGGGACAAAATCAGTCATTTCAAAAAGTGGTGGGGACATGTCCCCAGTATCCCTTGTGTAAATGACAGTTACTGTATTTTACAACCTGATCATCAGAATGTGATATTAAGCTACTACAATCTGAGTGAGTTATAATGCACAGTTGGAAAATTATATTATCAGATTTTATTCTGTCAATTTAATTTAACTTGGAACACATCAGTGAAATACTGGGCACCTGATTAAATAAAGGTTATATGTTTTGCATTGTTTTGCAAGCATTTTGTTTCATTTTTAAAAGTTTCATAAGCCAGGGGAATCAATAGTTGCTGACAAATCCTGGCTAAGAATGAAATCCTGACAAATCCTGAAAGAGTGAACAGGTGAAATGTTGAAATCACCACTACCCAAATAAGATTGGAGTTATTTTTTACTGTAGGGATGGACTTTTATGATTAAAAACAAAGAAACAATCACGTGCTACATGGAGAAGATGGATGAGAAGCTGGATGTACTGTATGTGAATAAACAGACATTTGTCATTTTGCTGTGTTTGTTCATAGTGAGTTTGTGCTTGTGTACTGTAGACTGTATGTGATGATTGAGAGATTACAAACAAACCCACCAAATCAAATGGGAGTCATAATCCCAGATAATCCTATAGAAACCTCTGCTTTACCAACAGCCAGTCAGTCATCTGGCTAGCTAGCTGCTAGCAGCCTGCAACTCTGACAGTCATACAGTCAGTCAGTCAACAAACCAGCTGGACTGCCACTCACTTTGTTCCTTTAATACACGCTAGGTACAGCCGTTTGTAATTATGAGTTTTAATAAAAAGATGCATCCACAGAATGTCTTAAGCTTGTTTGTGTTGTGTACATTGTTTGTCTTTTGGTGTTCTGTATGTATTTTATAGCTGGACTCATGGCTTTCCCTCCCTACCATATGCATTCATTATATGATCACAGAAGAAGCCACTGCATGTGTAGACTAAACTTGTTCCCCTGTAGTACTTGGTCAGCATACAACTTTTTCTGCATCTCATCCCAGATGCAAAACTGTCTAATTTCAGTCATGTCTTTTGAATAATTGCCCTTTAAAAAAGAAAAACATCAAGACAAAATTCCATATGCCAATAGTCATGATTTTTGATCGTGCTGTTGATTAGTCCACAATGTGCCACACAACAGACGGAGCTGCCCAAATAAAAATGTACCAGATGTTACTGCAAAAACAACAGCTCAGAGCAAGGTAACAAATCTTTGGAAAAGCATTTTAGCTTGCTATGTGTGAAGTAGTTGAATTTTAATTTGGTGGCAGAACCCTGAAGTCACGCTATGAATGACATATTGCTGCATGCCTTGGATCATTCTCTATTCTAAACATAGCACCTACTATCCTCAGAACTTTTCACTTCATCAAGCTTTTTGCACTTCTTTTATGCTACTGTTGCTACTTTAGGGTCAGTTCTTGCCTGATGCAATTCACCTTACCTATATTTAAAGATATTCACCCTGCAAGTGACCATGTGTATACTAATGACTCACCCCATGTAACGTTGAATTCAGGAAAAAACAATGTTTTTGTTGCATGCTTCTGGTGACCAAAGAATCCAAAAACTGAGAGAATTCTTGATGAATGGAAGTCATGAGGGTCCACGTTTAACAAATATATCAAAAACATCAGCTTACAAACTCTTACACAACTCATGCAGTATAATCTATTAAGGCTCATTTATCCAGTTGTATGCTCAGTGCTCTCCAAACAAACTGTCATTTTCAACAGGGAACTGAACTAAAAGTGAAACTTTGTCTATGCTTTCTTCAAAGACAGACTCCATTGGTAATAACTATAATTTTGCCTTGCTTAACATGGAAGCTTCTGGTCTACCACATTATTTGGAGAGCACTGAGCAACTCTGACTATGTTGAAGTCAAATCATATTCAACTGCAGATAATGTCTTCTTTTACAGTTTACATATTTGCATATGTGCTTGTTGTTTATATTATACATCACATTTATTTGGCCATACATATCACATGTTCTGTCTGTACTTTACATATCATAATTATATGAATGGCACACCATAGCGGCATTAATTTTGATATACAGCAATTAGAACCCCTCTTAAATGACATTTTAAAGTTAGATGCTAAATTTTATTTCACTGGACTGTTTCATACTTTGAGCAATGAAAATAAAGTTAAATCTGATCTGGTCTGTCAAAATAAGTCCACTGAGAACACTTTTGTTTTAGTATATGTTATAGAATGGGAGACTTGAGCAGTGCACAGCTGCTTCTATAAAGTTTCTCGCATCCAAAGACAGTCCTAAATGGTGTTCTGGGCCCTGCCACACCAAGCTGAAGATCGGCTGTTTGTCAGTGTCAGGCCATCGGTGAGCGTCAGTCTCCTCCGTTTTTGCACTTTGTCACACACCATTGGCACCAGTCGGCCATTGTTGGCTTTTTTGCAGTACTGGGCATTGTCACCACTAGTTCTCTGATGTCAGTTTGGTGTGTCTGGGCCTTCAGACATTCTGAAAGGGATACTACCATATCACCTCAGCAATAACATAATCCACAGCACAGGTAGACCTTTCCTCAAAATATTACAACTTCATTCTCAATTCTTGAACACAGAACAGAACACAGATTTGTGGAATATGATTTGAATGTGCACAAAGTTTTAAAGATATTTTTGGGGCATTTTTAAGCCTTTAATGTATAGGACAGACAAGCGTGAAGGGGGGAGAGAGAGAGAGAGGGAGTGACATGCAACAAAGGTCCTCAGGCTGGAGTTGAACCCGGACCGCTGCGGCAACAGCCTTGTACATGGGGTGTCTGCTCTACCACTAATCCACTGACGCCCCACAAAGTTTTAAATATGGTTAAAGATTGCTGAAACATGCGATCTATTGGGGTCAAGGTTTTTTTTTATCAAATCAAAGTAATTCATTTATCAGTCATGCAAACACCACCCAGCTGGCCACCATTGTCATTAGAAGTTGATATTCAGTTGAATTTAGGTTGGGATGTTGGCTGACCAAAATTCAGTTTCAGGATAATGTCTACTGCTGACGTCAATCTGACATAGAATTCTGACAACAGATGACACTGATATTTTGTTGGTTTTAAGTTGTGCTGTTAGGGAACCAAAATCCAACATCTTCCAAATGTCTCATGGCAACATCATCTTGATGTAGAATAATGACATTAAGTCATACAGTATGGCATGGAGAACAAAACCCAGCATCTGGAAAACATCAAAATATTAACGTCCACACAATATAAAATTCAAACGTCATTAGACATTTATTTTCAACTTGATTTTCATTCCAATCAAAATATGACATCTGTTCATCCTAAAAGTCCAACATCTCTCTGAAGTCATATTGACACCCAATGCTTGCTGGCATGCACATTAAAGAGGGTACTTTCCCAAACAAAGACACAAAACAAGATGGAAGAGTAAATCATGCCTACAGCTGTGTTGTCTCAGTAGGTATAACATTAAATGAGAAAAAGTGATCTTCTGAGGAGTAAATATTTGAAAGCAACACAGAATACCTAAGAGCTGCATTATATTCCATTAGGCCTATAGGCCTATTTTTTTAATATATATATATATATATCTATATTCGAATTGTCAAGTGGTGCCTGATTCTTTGTGTTTTTCGTTACGTAAATGAAGACATTTTCAACACAAACTGATACAGAGCCACTCCGCGCCCTAAAACCCCCGCAAAGAAGGGGAAAAAAAGTAAAATCTTGATGTTTACAGCAGCACTTGAAGGCAGCAGCAGCCTGATGCCTGCAGATTCAGATGAAAAGGCTCTTTTTTGGCTCCGGGCTCCTGATTGGCTAAGCCGCTTGGGAAAGGGGCGGGGCTTGTCTCTGAGTCCTGGCACCAGTCTGCTCTGCAAGCAGCGAAAGGTGGAGAGATTTTCACCTTCACACACTCTAACTGTCACACATATACACACACATATACACACGCGCTCTGCGAGAGAAACGGCACACATCGAAACGGTGAGTAGAGTTGCCCGTTTTACAATTCCTGTAAACACATATATGATGTGTCATCGCGTGTTTATCGTTGTTTACTGTAGCCTCGCGCTGCGCCATCCTCTCGTGCATTACTATGTGAATGATGAAATTCATGTCATATTTATAGGTCTCATATTTAGGTCTCGCGCTGCAGTGGCCTATATTTAGCTTATCATATGGCGGACAGGCAATTTGACATAGTGGTGCACGGTGATTCCCTTCACAATGGCTGAGGATAGTGGGCGTGTGAGGGGGGATCTCTGTGTCTCATGCAGAGGTCCGTGGATTCGTGTCTCTTTGTTATGGTGGTGCCGCAGTCGGGATGGTACACCCCTCCTGCTGAAAAATCACCAGGCTATAGTACTCCCAAGATATTCCTATAATATCCCCACATGAGCTCATAGTGCCCCTCAGTAATCATTAATGAGTGTTTAGTGGCCTCATTGCATCTGTGCTATTTTAGACTGTGCCTCTTTAAGATGAATAGTCCTATATGGGACTACAGTAACCTATAGTCTATGATTTTTGCTGGTATTAGTCTCTATAGTATTTACTACAGGGGTATAGTTTTCTCAAAGGCAGCAGGTGCACCGCCAAAACAGTCAAGGCCATGTTATATAAAGGCTTTTTTCTGATGTTACAGAGCCCATACACCCGTTTTAGGAAGAGTCTGTGATGTTCTATAGGGACTAAGCCTGTCGTTATACAATAATACCCCCCTCCCCATTCTACACACACATTCACAGCTACACACACTGCATCCTCTGTCTCTGTGTGGATTAGTACACATTGTTCTATCTGTTCTCATGTCTTTCTCTCTCTGGATGTTTCTCATGTTGGTCTTCAGTCTGTTTCACACTTGGAATTTAATGTGCAGTGTTTGAGGATAATAAATGCATCGTAAAGTCATTAATAAATGGGCGACCACAGCACAGACACGCTGTGGGAATACTATTGTAGTAGGAGGATCTTAATTCTCCCCTTAAATTTGTTAATGTTCTTTAACTGCTTGGTGCAGCACTTGACTAAGGCTACATGATGTTCAAACCCAAGATACATGGCTGCACCATTACATAAAATGGACACATTCAAGAGGCCTGTGTTTCATCAGTGTCCCATTTTCACTGCATGGTTCAGCTCGACTTGACTAAATTCACTTTTAGTACCCATAGATGTATAGAGAGTTGCATACAGCGTCAGAGGCAGAGCCCTTTTCTTTCTGATGAAAGTTGTTTAGTAGTGCATGAAGCCAAAAAAGTTATACTTCCATGTGTGCAATTACCTAGATCCTCCACTCTGCTTCCGCATCGTTGGGTCAATACAGTAGGTGCACCAGAGACTTCTGCCAGCCAAGTGGCTAACTTCCTCTTTAGCCCTCCGCTAACATTAATGGGGATAAAAGGATCTAATTGTGCAGCTCTTCTAGTTCTTCTAAATGTTATCGGACTGAAATGATCAAATCTAGATGTTGAAATGAGTCATTTTATGGGGGTTGTGACTCAAAAATATATATTCACTGATTTACAGACATTTACAATCTAAGTCTAAGGGAGAAAGTCTTTTTAGCACTGTTCCTGGGGTGTGATAGTACCCTCTAAATGTAGATGTGACTGTTGCTGACTGTAATAGCAACCATCATGGAAATCCTATCATTAGTAACCAAACAGAGGAACATCTGCACTTGATCAACACGCCAGTGTAGTGTACATACTGTATGGTGTACTTTTGTTGGTTGCCATTTTGTAAAATCAGGGTCTAGTGAATAAAAACATTGTAGCAGCTATTGACGGTAGCTTGGCTATTTTAAAAATGGTGAGTTTTTACAAGATGTCCCATCACTCAAATGACAATTGTCTCTGACCAATCAGTGCTGTCCAGCATGTTATCTCCACCTTTTAGTACTGGCTCAGCTCGCTTGGAACCTCATTTGAAGTGGTACCAAAAAAAAAAAAAAAAATGCGTGTATACAGTTTCCCAAACTTTTGCTAATGGAAAACCAAAAAAGAGCTGAGCAAGTTGAGTAGAAACATGCCGTGCCTTGCAGTAGAAAAGTGACATTACACAGTAATTTCAGCCTGACATGTTTGGTATCTGTGGAAAGTTTGGGGTCTAGTACAGGAAATTGAAATAATTGTCTGTGGGTCAGGGGACAATGGCTGGTGTTGATGGATCTGCTGGTGGCTCCTGCAGGGTTGAAGAGGTCAGTCATTTTTCTGGCAGTCTTAGCTGGTGTGTTTATTTGGGGTTGTTAGATACTTTTGGCCTCTTCAGCTCTGCCTACCTGTCGCCTTGTTACTGCCTGTCTCTGCCTCTGTCACTCATATGTCACGCTGCATTTCATCAAAGATCCTCTTGAGTTTTAACTATTAATTTTTTGACACCACTTCTAGCCACAAGTCATAATCAGTATTAGATGGTGGAAGTTAAAATTTATGGTAACACATAACATATCTTATTATCAAAGCTGTGTTATGCATTTTAATTAAGAGTCTCGCAACAGTGATTTATAATTAAATATAATATATTTTTTAGTATCTTTTGTTTTTATGTTCTTATTCTGGGGAGCTGGTAGCAGAAGTGGTACGGGTTGGCTGCTTGAAGGGTTTTCTGTTTGTATTTCCAGCTAGTCACAGCCACATGTTAAAGAGTCCTTGAGCAAGAAGCTGAACTCACTATTACTACACCCAGTGTATGTGAATAGGCAATTCATTTGATCTTTTAGTCTATAAAACTGTAGGAAAAAGAGAAAAATCCACTTTAAATTGTTATATTCAACAAACTAGGGCTGCAATCAAACAAAGATAATTTTGCTCGACTGAAATTCAACCTACTTTTTGACCGATTGGTTGTTTGATGGGGAACATATCCTGCATGTTATCTCTAGGCTAATTTCCACGGTGTAAATTTAGTAAACTTTACCTGGGAGGGTTGTGTGTCCACCAAAGCATTTTTTCCTGTCACAGGACTCGACATTAACACTTGCCCAGGGCAAGTTAACTCTGTGTTCAGGCAAGTGGAATGCCTTGAGTGGAAAATAAATGTGATGCCCACTGTAATATTATCTGAAAATAAACTGCGCACTGTATCGCTGGGAGCATCCAGCTCAGCTACAATCACGTGTCGGTCTCACCACTAAGCGTTGAACAGGCTTGATAAGAAAAATCAGACATACTGGACACTCTAGAAGTTAACCATGGAGTTGATGATGTCATATACAACATGACATTGCTAACATTAAATATCTCGGTAACGCTGCATGCGAGAGAGAGACTCACTGCTTTTAGCCCAGTAGGTAACGTTAGCTGTCCTGACGCTCCAGCAAGGGCTCTACTGTGATCATATTGCTTTCAGAAGCTTTATAATCCAGGCTTGATCATCAACGTCTTTTTGGGGACCAATCCATAATGATAAATCCAACACTGAATGTCTTCTGTGATTATTTATGTGTTTTAGATTTAATATGACAGTTAAAAAAATGTTTAACTTTGGGTAAAATATTGCGTGCCAATGTCACCAACCATCCAATCACAAGGGAGAAGGGGCAGCACAAATACCACAAAGACCAACTGTCACCTAGGACAACTACAAGTGCTGAGCAACTGCTGTTATCAGTTTGGAAAAGAAATGCCTTGGTGAACACACTGCCTTATTAAAGTAACAACAGTGATTGTCCAGCCAATGAGAATTTGGTTGGACAAGAGCATATCAACCAACCAATTGACCAATTAGAATGTGACAGCCCTTCAACAAACATTCCAAAACCCTTAAATATCCAACTTCCCACAGTATGACTTAGATAAAGGTAGCAAATCCTCACATTTGAGAAGCTTGAACCAGAGAGTGTTTGGCATGTTTTCTTGTAAAATGCTAATCAATTATCAGAATATTTACTGATTAATTTTCTGTCGATTGACTAATCAATGAATAGTATCATCTGTCTGCTAAATGAATGTATTGAAATATTATACTGATACTAGGGTGTGAGTAGAAATATGGAGAAAGATGTCAGTAAAATTGCACTGTATGTATATTTGACCACTATACCAATTTGCTTTATTTGGTTATCATAATAGGAGACAGAAGATATATGGAGTGTCACCATTTTGGTTCGTTTTATTCAGTCATTGAAATCGAAATCAAAATAGAAACAGAAAACACTCATAGATTCACTAGATCTGGTGGTTTCTTGCAGGTGAGGAAACCCAAGCTGTTAATTCAAAGTACCCTCTGCCATCTCATCTCTGCTCTTCTTTTTGTTTTTTTGTATTTGTTTAACAGTTTCTTCCAAATGTTCTCAGCCAATGACCCACTGATCTGTACAAATTATGAGTCTTAACAGTGGCATAGCCTTCAGTGCTGAAAAAAAAACCCCAAACTGTTTAAATTTAATCGATTTGAATTGGGACCTTAGATTCCAAAATCTAATTGACTTGTGGATTTGGACATTTGTAACATCCCTGGAAGATACCATTTTGAATTTCGGTGACTGTAAGCCTGTAATTTATTTTAAAACTTGCCTTTTCCTGGCATTAAAGGCAGCATTAATGCTAATGAGTGAAATAAACAGCCTCCATCTGTTTGGTCATCACATCCAAATTACCAATGATCAATTCTCAGAAAGCTGCTTTGAGCAGATACTCCTGAAAGGGCCAATAATCTCATCCCCCAAATACAGTCACATTACAGTTATTTGGTCAAATATAATATAAACTTTATATTTATGTTATTTACCTTTTCTTTCACCATTACCAGGCACTGCCATACAGTCTTAATAAGGAAACTATTGTGTCCTTAAGGCCTGATCCACTAATTGTCCTAGTCACTGTCTCTGTCCCAGCTCATCCAGTCAGATCTTTGATGTGGACCATTTAGAGTCTAATGATACATAATTTCTATTAAAAGATATCTGCATATATATGCAGAACCTGTAGGCAAGGGTGAGATTTTGATATCAGAAGCATTCTGGTTTTTGTTTGTAGTCT